CTCAACAGTAATGAACTACATTCTCCCAACAGCTGGCTGTATTTGTGCAACTTCTCCATTTGGAATCAAACATGCTACATGCTTCTTGGATGTGGCAATCCTCCTCTGAAAGTGTTGCTAAAAAATGATTTAAACTCTTGCAGAAAACAAGTTTGTCTCATGCAGAAGAGAGGCATAATGAAAGCCTGTTGACAAAAAAGACCAGCTATTTTTCTGAAGCTGAAATTGTACCAAGTCTTTAAATCAATTCAATCCAAAGACATACCAAGTCTTTCAATCCATCCTGAAACAGGAGTGAAAGTGGCAGCTGCAAGTTGCAAACATAATTCAGACTTTCTGAAAGTGAAGCTCAGTAGATTAAATACAGCTTTAAAAAGAGCCATCAACCTAAATTACAAGAGCTATTTGAAACTGTCTGCAGGTCACTTTAAAGTATGATGCCAGGGTATGTATATATTCCAACATTTACACCCACAAAAGCAGGCAGTCTTGGAATGCAACATTATCTTGATATTCAGATTTGTCTTAGTTGTTTCACAACACACACAGTGCTTACAAAAAAAAATATTGTAAAGCTGTTTTCATCATGTGTTCATGTGGTCTGGAAGCTGTTCATTCCCAAAGGGAATTCAAATGGCTTTAAGCACCAAAATTAAGGGGAGTGGGGGTGGAAAACACAAATATGGCATCCTTGTATTTTGTTACAGCAAAGTAAGATGTTCAAGACCCCATGGGTGTTCATCTGTAGTTCAAGTAATGACCAAGTGAACAGTGATCTGTACAAAACTGAAACGAGGTATCACATTCAATCCAAATAAGCAGACCTCATTTTATAGCTATGTGATCAGCAGCTACAATCTGCATGAAGAGATATACTACAAAAATCTAGTCAGTACAGAAACAAAATATTTTATCGCATTAAGGCACAGTGCTACACCTCCTGCCTCCCGTACAGCAGGTTTGCAACAGAGCCCAACTTGGTACTCCATACGAGAAAAAAAATAATTCTGCAGCTATGGTTATTTAGAGTGAGTATTTTTCCCCAATCAAGTTCAAACTCAAACTTGCAGCCATGATCATCCACTTTAGTTAGTAGGTATTAACAAAATTTGTGTGAAAAGTTTTAGAGGGAAAAATGTTCATGATTGCTTCAAAGTGAATAATGTTAAATAGCTAGCCCTCAGGTTTATCAAGAATTTTCCTCCTCCCCTCTTCTAACAATACTCACATTATGTTTCAACCAGAAGAGGAAGCAATCACATCATTAACTGCTGAAGAATGGAGGGAGAAAATACACTTGCATTTAGTCTCAATCCTAATACACAAACCAAGCCATTTAGCGTAGTATAATATAAGCACTATCAACACAAGCATGCTCTACCTATTCTTTCAGTGAATCTTCATCTGTAGCCTACAATGATTACTGTGTGTAGGAAGGCAGAGAAATTAAACTACACTATCTGATCTTTACCAAGGCTATTAAAACCAGTCCCCCCCCAATGCAGCATCATTTCAACATAAAGTTCCTCACACAAGAGCCAAATGCTTTCATAAACTAATTTGCCTTATACAAAAGTTGGAATAATTTCACACTAGTAGCATGATTTGCATGGTTTTGTATTCTGAAATAGTTGACTATAAGCCACCCGTTTTCCTTTGTACTAGCAAACTGGGCACGAAACATAGCTGCAAATTTCCACACTGAGACAGACATTCATTCTTCTGTAAAACTGGAAGATCTGGCAAGATGAACTGGCAAAAGCAATCACTTACTAGCTGACAAGCATAAGCTTTACGCAAAGACGCTTTCGAGTTTCTACACACAAGTGTCCACCATTTCAAGAAAATGCCCAACAAAAACAAAATACCACAAATCAGCACTTCAAACATCTCTTCAATACAAAATGGAGAGAGACCTGTAACCCCCAAATTGCCTACTTCATACACCTGAAAATGAAAATAGAGCCTGCTTTAACATAGGTACGGTACAATGCAGTGGGACTGATCTCACTATATCAGTACTTTTTTTGTCCTTTCCTATTCTCTGCACCCTACCCATCCTGCACCCCATGTGTTAAAACTGCAGCCTCTGATAACAGTAAAGCAGCTGACAGAAAGGGGAAGATAATTTTAATTATACCTTACTGAAGAAGATAAGCTCCTGTAGGGCTGATGCTACTTTTTTTTCTTTTATACTAGCAACAATTTGTAAGCACTATTAAGCAGCCTGGAACTGCAGCACCTGTGCGATACAAGGGTGTTCCACTGCAGAGTACTCTTCACTAAGAAACAGGTAGAACTCCTTAAAAATGGAGCTATACATAATCATCAAGACACATGAGCTTCTTTGTACTCAGCTAATTAATGGGGTAGCTTTTTCCATCTCCACTCTTCAGCAAGCTATCAGCAATACCTAAACTCTGATTCTTACATCAACAGAACATTGGAGGTTGTTTTTTTTTCACCTGTGCACAAAGAGGTAGTTTACCAGGCAGCTTCTTTAATTTCAGTGTAGGGGATGAGTAAGCCCTAGTTCATGCTTCAGATAAAAACCTTTTCAGCAAAACAGCCTCTAGTAGTCTCAAGGAACATAGAGGCAAAAGACATACTGTTTTTCAAAGACACTGATTTCATATCAAGTGGTATTACATGAAGAACAGCTTTGCAGAATCACCCTTCACTCTCAAGTATGTACATGCTCCTGCATCACAAAACCATGCAGGATAAGGGATTAATTGTTTCTGGATCTTTTGACACTCCTAGAAACAGGTTTTTGAGAAATTATCACATAAAAATTAGCATTTGTGCACATGACTGCGTAAACTTCTTAGATTCACTGAGACAACTGCATAGATTTCAAGGAGTTACACACCTATTAAGACATTTTACTCATTACCATTGAGCAGCTATCATACACCTACATTGTATTACAGCAAAACCGATTCCTAGCTATTTGAGGACTAAAGAGCATACAGGCACCCAAGCTTGAATGTCAGTGTGAATAGTCTGAAATCAGTTCAAGATTATGACAGAAAAATCATTTCATAATGGAGACACCAGAATCCTGTTCTTATAAATCTAGTAACTGCCTGAAAACAGTAAGAAAATTTCTTTTAAAGTAAGGCACAGATACTAATGACTTAATGTTTAATACTGTATTATTTATGCTGTCAAAATACAACTTTTAGCAGTTAAAAAAAAATGCATAATTTTATTAGATATTTCTCAGGAGTGATCCTCAAGTCAATCTTACCTTGCCACTAGAAACAAAAGCACCATCCACAGTTACATGTTGATAAATCCATGGCCACATGCAGAATTCATTACAAGCCCATGTATTTACATCTACAGTCAAGCTAGATTTTTGTATACTAGAGTATTTCACTTTAATCAATTAGAATGATTACTTATTATTACCAGAAATAAATGGCCATGAGTTACTTCATTCTGTTAAAAAAAAAATCCAATCCCCCCCCCAAAAAAAAAACAACCAACAAGCAGAAGATCTGAATTTCATCACCTTTTAGATAATTGCACAAGAATACTGTAGAGTTTCAGCAGCTGCTACCCAAATTATAAAGCTAGTCTTTCTGTTACTATTACATTTAAGTGCTCAACAGAACAGTAAATATGAGAATGGAATCATACTGTAGTTCCTTTAAACTTTTAATTGTCAGCAAGGACATTTGAAAAGCAGTCAGTTTTATCTCAAACTCCGAGCATGAAATATCTCTAACGATACATGAAAATTCAAGCAAAAAGATTTGGCTGTGTGTATCTCAAGATTGTCCACAGAGTTATCTGTTTTGGGATGTCTCAGAACTCTTCCCTGTAACAAACTGCATTGCCCGGGGAAGTGCAAAACCTTTGGTGGTTTAAAGAACATTCAAATAACCAAAAGCACCAAATTCTGATATCTTTCTAGCTGGCCTTCAAAAGACAGCAATAATATGTAAATTAAATACAAAACAAAGCAACAGGAGGCCTAAAGCTGTTGACCACTACACATCAGTTTAAAATTAATTTATTTCATCTGTAAAGCAAAAACCACTTAGGGCTATCAAAAGACTTTTCTCTTGCACATCAATAAAAGTGCAATGCTTAATGCTAGGTATGAAAACAACTCTTGTAAATACTTAGTTTTTTTAAAGAAGTAGACTGTTTGGTGATACATGCTTTGCATGTATTTATGTTTTAAGTGAACAGGTGGCACTTCACAAGTTTTAATTGGAAAAGCATGCTTCCTAGTCATAAAAGGCAATAGCAAGTCTAAATCAAAACTCCCTCAGAGCTATTAAGTGATAGCTTTTAAATTAAAATAGTACAGGATAGCAAAAGGACAGCAGAAGAGTTTATAGCTGTATTTTCAGTGCTATTGTTGGTATAAAATTGCCATCATTGCTCAGGCTAAAACTTAATTTTGCAGAAGCTGTCATTTTCTTAAAGGAGGTAGTATAAAAAGCTTGTGACTTGCAAAACATGGCCTCATCTGGCTGTAAACATTTCAAACAATAGACATAAATACCTATGATTAAAAGTACAGTGGAAGAGATTATTCTAGAAATTGTTTTATGAATTTGAAAAGAAAAAAACAGTAGATACATTTAATATATTTACTTATTTGCATGTACTTTAAATGATACAGACAAGATTACTATGTTAGAAATTCACATACAATATAAAAACATTTGTTAGACAAAGTCACCATTCTGCTGACACTTGCAACTGTTTATCCGAGCTTAACTTCAGGTATTTATAATATTTTTCATACATTAATCTTTGTATATGTGCAATGTTTCATTAACTACACAATGTGAAACCCTGATTTTTGTAGTTTTTCATCACAATCTGAACATAATAGCTATCTGCATCTTAACACATTGGCTTTTTGAAACACTAGTAATTAAGGCATCTTTGCTGTGTAGTTTTTCTCAATAGTGCAAACAAAAACTGTCTTTAATAATTTGATTAAAACATAGAAGTAATTGAATATTCTGAAGTTTTTTGTTTTTTTGTTTTTTAATGTAACTGGAAGATAGTTGTGCATTTTGGAGTTCTCTTGTAAAAGACAGATTTTAAAACTCTTAATGCCGATTGCTTTTGTTGGTTCCTTGTAACTGGTTCAGCTGTCTTGGCTTCATGACAGGATAATTCATCTTTTGTGGGATGTTGTAGTAAAATACAGTAGCATTTCAATGAATACCTAGTAACTAAGTGAATCCCAAATGCAGCAAAGGCATACAGTTTTCATAGTGCACTTTCACCTCACTGAAGTAAAAGTTGCTCCTACTAGACATTTTTCCACTTCAATGTGAAGTAGATGGTTATGATGTTAGTGGTTTTATTAAACAGCTTGACAGTTCAGTTCTCTTCCGCCAGTATTTCTCAAAAGGCTTTCATAGTACACATTTCACGTAAGCCCAGTTTCCCAATCATGTCAGTGCAGCTGTAATAAATAAGCATTTATATCCTAGAAGGAAAAAAAAAACAAACAAAAACCAGGAGAAAGTGTTTGTCACATTACTTGTAGCTGTAACATCGACTGTATGTCAATGGGTAACCTATCAGGACATTAATACAAGAGTAATTATATATAGGCCAAATTTCAGAACAAGTTATCTTCAAGATTACTTTCAGTTAATGCTTTTAATGGCATTTCTTTATGTAATGAAAAGTCTGCAGAACAGTGTGATTAGTTTCCAAAGCACCAGTTCAGTTTTTCCTCTGCTCAGTGCATTCACAGGAAAAGAAGTCATCGTCATGAGATCATGTATTTGAAACATGTTTATTAAGAGTGATGTTCCTTCACCACATCCCTCCAGCATACTTGTACTAGTCCTATTGCTCTTGACTTGTTCAGATCACAGTCTATCCTGATATACACATTAAGAAACAGGCAAACAAACAGGAAGGGAAACAGAATCCCAGAGAAATAAACTGACACTGGCTGTAACTGCTGTGTTGATCTACCAGAAGAACTAGGCAGTCTGTATTACAAGCTCCTACTGCTCTACCATTTGGGAGTTAGAACTCAGTTCTGCATGCCTGCTGACTGAAGCTGTAAGACATTTGTAATTATCATCATAGAGGCATCAAAATTGAAGTCAGAGGAGCACAGCAGTTGCAGAAGAACAAGAAATAAATTACTTTGTTGATACATCAAAGTGACAAATTCTGTAGCCATAGAATTGTATCTGAAGGATCTTTGCAGAATCTATAAGCATTCAATCTTTAAGTCCTTCTCAAGTTCACTCAAATCCTACACATAACCAAGCGTCTGCTTTAAGCCCTTTCCCACTGTCTGCCTTCATCAGGTCTCTCTATGTGGACCCGTTTCTTATTCTGTGTAATTCCTAGTGCCCAACCTCAGAAAGCCATGTTAATAGACAGGAGTATCATAAGCAGAAATCATACATCTACCAGACATTATATTACTGATACCACAACATGCTTGCCTTGAGAAAAGGCAAATAAGGTTCACTTCAGATGGAGACACTTCTTTGCTACCCACAAACTCATTTAAGCATTAGGCCAGCAATAAGCTTTAAGATTTAGTATCTTGGCACTTGCCCCAGTCACTTGATGTGCAAATGCTAACAGTGCTGGGCTAAGACTCTCCCTGCTGTATTACACTTACAACAATGGCTATAAAGTCACAGAATCAACTAGGTTGGAAAAGACCTTTAAGATCATCAAGTCCAACCTTTTATCCCAGGACTGCCAAGTCCAACACTAAACCATGTCACTAGGGGCCTCGTTTATACAGTCTTTGAACACTTCCACGGACAGTGATTCCACCACTTTCCTGGGCAGCCTGTTCCAATACCTGATCACCCTCTTGGTAAAGAAATTTTTCCTAATATCCAGTCTAAACCAAACCTGGCGCAGCTTGAGGCTCTTTGCTCTTGTAAAAATTGTGCAATATGCTTGAGCATTAGTGGAAAATAAAGGTGTTTATATCCATCAATAGTTTAGCATAAATAACACCAAACGAGAGTAATACTGCAAGTGATGCCATTATATGTTCATTACTAAACACAACCGGAACTGGATTACCTTAGCTATGTTACCAGTATATCCTGGAACCAGTGTCAGATGATTCTGCTGTTCCCATAAACCACTTAATTCTTGTTTTAAAATATGAATGTTTCTGAAAAAAGAATGACCACCACTTTATAAAATGCATACATTTCAGTACTTTCTGCCTGAAACACAACTACTACAGATAGACTTAGTCTATATGATACTGCCACAATATCAGAAAAAAATTGATCCAACTTCTACAGCATTTGTATTAACCTCTGATATGACTGTATGTTAGATGTACTAAAACCAAAAAACCACCCCCCAAAAAAAAAACCATCCCAAAACATGACAATCCTGTATCTTAAGAACATAAGTGCTTTTAAGCTTTTACTTTCAAATTACAGTATTCTTTTGTAGACAAGGTGCACTCCTACTGATCAAAGTTGAAACAGATTTTGAGATGGAATAAACTACAAACCCACATTTAAATATTTCCCAACACTATACTCACCCATCCTCTGCCTTTTCGGTATGTGCAGACAGTTCTGACCACCATCTTTTAATGACAGCCTGAAGCCAGTTTAAACCAACTATCACATATCTGTAACAACATATTTTACATATTAGCTTTTCTCCCACTCTCCAATATCTACAGGTCAGCTAAAGTGTCAAGACAAAATGGTAAGCAACTTAGAATGCAACATGTTTTCTATTCTGGAATATAAATCTAGACAAATTGGCAAGCTTGAAATTGAAGACATAGGCAAGTATTTAAAGTGCTAAACTGAAGCTCTTACTGAAAAGAGGAAATTCAAGTATTTTGCCTGAAACCTTTGCCTTGATTTCATGTTATAAAGCATATTAAAGCCTCAATGCTATTCTGTTTTACAGCTTAGGATAAATAAATTTGTCTAGGGGCAAAACCAGTCCCTGCCAGTTTTCTGCAGTCCCTTGGAGAAAAGGGTTTCTGCACCACCAGTTTGTTAAAGGAGAAAGTTTCACAGGAAAGATTCCCTTCAGGTAGGCGTTTCTTTAGAAAAGCAGCTTTGGGAGAAGGGGCAGAGGGAACAAAAGTCAGAGGACTAAACACCATTAATGCCTAGGAGAGTGCATAGCCAGGAAGTAGGAGTGTTTTGAAAACATCTGAAACTAATACTTACTCTTCATATTTGCTTTTAAGCAGAGATTTCACTAAAGGCAAAAGATCTACACAGCAGCCAACTGAAATAAATGGTTTTTCTTCCTGTAAACTTAAAAAACACAAGATGTTTCAGAAGTGCTTGAACGTCAGAGGGGTTATAGCAGATTCTTATCCCCCACTTCCTTTTGTTTGTACCTCTTTGTAAGCACAGGAAGGCAGTCTACTACTACTCCAAGATCCTGTATCCTAGAATCATTAAGAAAAAATATCAGAAATGTTACTGGTAAAACATAGGTTGAAGTGTATACTTCAACTATGATTTAAAGAATAAATATAATGAAGTTACAACATTTAAGGAACCCCTAAAAATACTGCAGCATATTTGGGATTGTTACTACTTTAAGAATATAGAAGAGACACCTAATTTACCTCACTAAGTAGGTGACCAGTTCATTTATACTCCTTCTTCTCCAAAAGGTTAAAGCTACATTCAGCCTCAGATTCCTGCTGAAAAGAACTTGAGTCATAGTTTCATGGTCCTGAGAAACCTGTATATTTATGAAAATATAAAATTTTACCACAAGTTTAGTAGCCAGCAACAACACAATAAGCTGCTCTAATGTAGTAACTTAGTATATGAAAATATACTTTCCTACCTGTGTGCTTTTAGAAATTTAGCTAACAATGGCCTTAAACACCACAAATTTCCCTTAGAAGGCAGCACAAATAGATAAAGGCTACTTAACCCACAGGCTACAAGAATAAGGTTTGCAGACACCTAAAGAGAGGTATCTAATGATTCAACAGATCATTCATGAGCATGAATCTATAATTCTCACCAACTTTGAGTACTTTTTACTTAGATGTTTACTAATTTTGACATGATTCAGACATAAGTAATTATATGTATTCTTCTGTACTTTCACAGAAAAGGTTTGTTTTTGAAAAAGCTCATTCTTGGAATGAATTTTAGGTATTTTATTAAAATTCCTTTGATTTGAATAAACACTGCAGAACCATCCACATCTCAGTCACCTGTGGCCAGTGATCTCGTCTTTAGTTTCTCAGAGGTTAGATCTTTCCGAGTCTTCATTTCTTTACCCTTCTTTTCTATTCTAACTATTCTGCTCCTACTTCCTTGAAACCATCAATATGATGGAGAGCAAGAGTGCCAGATTTGTACCTCCAGCCCACTGGACTCTGAGCTGTCTCTTCATGGCAGCCCATGTTTACAGTACCATGAAAAGGCAGCATGGTGATAGTCTTCAATCTGATCTTCCCTGCCATGCCTCACATTAAACACCCGCAAGCCACAGTGGGTAACAAGCATCTAAGGTGACAGAAGTGGAAATTTCAACATTAAGGGACTTAAATGGACTACACCGTCACAATACCCATTTCATTTAAATATCTGACCTTTTAGCCAGTTTCAGAAGCCCCACAAACATTCACCAAGTTTCATCAAGCAACCTTAACAAGAAATACAGTCTCATACAAACTCCTAAGCTAGTTACATACACACTAAGCTGACACTGTTACTGAAGATGGTTTTATCCTGCCTCACTAGCTTATTCCCATTCACACACTAACACTTTCACACTTCCATAACATGTGTGTGGCCATGCATCATGCCAGATCATGAAATCTAACTAGGTCCAAAGAAGGCTTTCCTTTGGTGCTGGTGCAATTTTAACCCAGACTAGCCTGGAAGATCTGAGCTTCTGTGCTGACCCAAACATGAGGGAAACCAGCAGTACTGTTGGCAATGGTATTATAATAAATAATGATTAGTAATGATATTTACCAGATAAAGATGGTAAATAACAAGACCTGAGCCAATCTGTATGTTAAGAAAATTAGTATAGTTGAAGAATTTCACAGCTAATGACACAAAAGTTTCTTTAAACAATACTTACCTCTGAAAAAAATCCACTGTACTTGGATGAGGGGCCTTCTGTTTGAGATGAGCCAGAGTCGCTAGAATTCAGGAAGCACGTACGACTATTGTGCACTTTTGCTAGCAGATTCCCTGCACAAGCCAGTTCATTTTCTTTATTTGCCATGTCACAGTCCCTAGATTTAGGGTGCTGTTTCTTTCTGTAACAAGGCTTTGGAGTATAGCAATGAACTTTTCTTTTACAATAAACGACTTTGAAAAGAGAGAGGGGACTTGCCACCGTTTTTCCAACTGTTACTCTGCAACAATAAAGCAGTATTTTAGTGAAGGTTGCTGTAAACCTAAGCAATACTTCTGTTAAGTTAAAATATATCACCTTGAATTCAGTAGTGAACTTGCAGGTTACTTAGAACACTTTATCCCCAAGATACTTCTGATAACCCAAATAGTCATGAAAGTGTAAGAGCTACCACCAACATTTTTTCTTGCTTTTATGAATGCAGAGACTTATTATTATGGAAGCAAGACACAAGAATCAGTTGTCAGTAAAATTAAGACCTATCTTTTACCTCTGTCTGTCTGGGTATTGTAATACATTTAAACAGCTTTTTCCTCTGTCTCACTCTCACTTGAAACTCAAGACTCTTCACACCACTGCTCTCCTACCTGTTTGTGTATGAAGCCAGCTGTTTTGGAGATTTCTTGCCCTGAGAGAAAGGGAATAGAGAAGAAAAAAATCTGCATTACTAAAAAGGATCAAACGCTCCCACAGTTTGTCATAAAAAAGTAGCCTGCTTGACCATAGCCTAAGTTTACTAGAGACTCCCTCCCTTCCACCCACTCTTTCTATTCTGCAACTTAAGCACAGCTATGTTAACCTTCCCGTAATCTTCAAGTATTTCACAGTGGCCTAAAGATGGACTCTCTGCCCCAGCTGTCCCTGGAGCACCATGATCAGCTGTAGGGTATCTTTGGCAAGAGGCGGGATTGTGACATCAGCAACGGATTCTTTAGTTACAAGCAAACTAAACGCCAACATATGAAAAGCCTACTGGAATCTGATGGCAAAACTGCATTAATTGTCTCACGTATATTTAAAGGCCCATAATATGATGCCTGTAAGATGCTAGTATTAGGAAGGATAATAGCAGAACACTTCCCCACCAAAGGGAAAAAAAAAAATAGAAAAAAAAAAAAAAATCAAGACTGCTGTAGACAACATGACCTTGATTATCCTAAATCCTTCACAGGAAACAGATTAACACCCTGACACCAGACAGGCTGCACAGAACAGTGATATCCTACAGGAACAACAAAAAACATTCAAGGTTGTGCCACACCTCTGAAAATTAAGCAACACAATTTGAAGATGAATATCTGAAGACTGTTTTTTATACAGCAGTCTTCAATGTTTTAAGCTCATCTTCATTACATGAAGCTCTAACTGTGCCATTCTCTTTTTACCGGTAAAAAGAAACAAGTACTAAGATGCTCAAGTTAGAAATACATATCTTCACATGAACGGGTACTAAGCTCATATACTGCTGGCATTTCAACTTGAAAATTTACATAGAATCATAGAATAGTTAGGGTTGGAAAGGACCTTAAGATCACCTAGTTCCAACCCCCCTGCCATGGGCAGGGACACATCACACTAAACCATATCACCCAAGGCTTCATCCAACTTGGCCTTGAACACTGCTAGGGATGGAGCATTCACAACCTCCCTCGGCAACCCATTCCAGTGCCTCACCACACTTACAGTAAAGAATTTCTTCCTCATATCCAATCTAAACTTCCCCTGTTTAAGTTTTAACCCGTTACCCCTTGTCCTGTCACTAGGGTCCCTAATGAAGAGTCCCTCCCCAGCATCCTTATAAGCCCCACTTCAGATACTGGAAGGCTGCTATGAGGTCTCCACGCAGCCTTCCCTTCTCCAGCCCCAACTTTCTCAGCCTGTCTTCATACGGGAGGTGCTCCAGTCCCCTAACCATCCTGCTTGTGGCCCTCCTCTGGACTTGTTCCAACAGTTCCATGTCCTTTTTATGTTGAGGACACCAGAACTGCACACAATACTCCAGATGAGCTCTCACAAGAGCAGAGTAGAGGGGCAGGATCATCTCCTTCAACCCGCTGGTCACACTCCTTTTGATGCAGCCCAGGATACGGTTGGCTTTCTGGGCTGGCAGTGCACACTGCCTGCCCATGTTCACTTTCTCATCAGCCAACACCCCCAAGTCCTTCTCAGCAGGGCTGCTCTGAATCTCTTCTCCACTCAACCTGTAGCTGTGTCTGGGAATGCTCCTACCCAGGTGTAGGACCTTGCACTTATCATGGTTAAACTTCATAAGGTTGGCATCAGCCACTCACAAGTGGGTCAAAGTCCCTCTGGATGGCATTCCTTCCCTCCAGGCTATCAACCGAACCACACAGCTTGGTGTCATCGGCAAATTTGCTGAGGGCGCACTCAATCCCACTGTCCACGTCAGCAACAAAGATGTTGAACTAGACCGGTCCCAACACCAATCCTTGAGGGACACCACTCGTTACTGGTCTCCAGACAGACACTGAGCCATTGACCACAACTCTTTGCGTGCGGCCATCCAGCCAGTTCTTTATCCACTGAGTGGTCCATCCATCAAATTGACGTCTCTCCAATTTAGAGACAAGGATGTCGTGGGGGACAGTGTCAAGCACTTTGCGCAAGTCCAGGTAGATGACATCAACTGCTCTATTCCTGTCCATCAGTTCCATAGCCCCATCATAGAAGGCCACCAAATTGTTCAGGCAGGATTTCCCCTTAGTGAAGCCATGCTGGCTGTCACCAAGCACCTTGTTGTTTTTCATGTGCCTTAGCATGCCTTCCAGGAGAATCTGCTCCAAAATTTTGCCAGGCACAGAGGAGAGACTGACTACTCTGTAATTCCCCTGGTCATCCAGGGGATGACCCCAAAAATGGGGGTTATATTTCCCTTTCTCCAGTCATCAGGAACTTCACCTGACTGCCATGATTTTTCAAATATGACGGACAGTGGCTTAGCAACTTCATTTGCCAGCTCCTTCAGGACCCGCGGATGGACTTCATCAGGTCCCATGGACTTGTGTATGTTCAGGTTCTTGAGATGGTCTCAAATCACATCCTCTCCTACAGTGGGCCCAAGGTCTTCATTCTCACAGTCCCTGCGTCTGCCTTCCAAGACTTGGGTGGAAGTCTTGGTGGACATGATTCTTTATGCTGTGCACATCAGCAAAACAATGCTATGACCTTAACACCAGCTCAAAATCATGTGGGTTTTAATACATAATTTTAATAAGCAAACAGGATATTGGCATCTTTGCCACTTTTTGAAGCAATCCTGCAGTAAGTTTATGTCCCTAATGCTTCCTCCATGCTCTGCTACTTTACTCTTCAGCCAGTAACACAGGTAAGAGGTTTAAGAAATTGCTTCTGATTAGCAATAATCCAATGAAAGACTATGTGTTACTAGACAATGTGGTAGATCCAGCTATATGATAATACAAAGACAGGTCCATTTCAATGCAGGTATTCCACCTACCACACCTCTTACCTGTGCCATGTAGCTCTTCTGGCAAGAGAGAACTTTCTGATGGTAGTATTCCTCTACTGTAACAGTTCTTAAATAGACTGCAGAGTAGGCATGAGTAAAACCATATCAGCACCTATTGCTCACATGGATATGATGCCAGTAATTGTGTAGTCTGTGCAGTGATGGCCTATCACAGAATCTTAGAACAGTTTGGGTTGGAGTGGATCGTCAAAGGTCATCTAGTCCAACCCTCCTGCAATAAGCAGGGACCTCTTCAACTAGATCAGGTTACCCAGAAACACATCCAGCCTGGCAATGCCCCCAGGGGTGGCACATCCACCACCTCTTTGGGCAACCTGTGCCAGTATTTTACCATCCTCTTTGTAAAGAATTTTTTCCTAACATCCAGCCTGAATCTCCCCTCTGTCAGTTTAAAACCAAAACCCCTTGCCGTATCACAACAGATCCTGCTGAAAAGTCTATGTATTATAATGCAGAGTTTTCATAATATAAATTGCTGTTAAAGCTAAAGTTCTGTTGTACATCTAAACATGAAATACCCAGTAATGCTGTGCTTCTAGTTTTAGACTGCTCAGAACCATGAACTCGTCCGAATGTTTACGTCAGTTTCATCTGAGGACATAAAAAAAAAAAACCAAGCCCACAACCACAAAGAGCTTACCTCCTTCATGATCTTTTTAGTGGAAGAAGAGATTCTTTTCCTGGGGAGATCAATGTGATGACCTTCAATATGCAATACTTTCTGTTTTCTAACATTGTGGGCTTCAGATGCCATAATCTCTCAAATCCCTGTTTTCAAGGGAAAGAAACTTAGTTATGTTTTCTAAAACTTTCAGTCAACTTTCTTCAAATACAGGTGGCAAAACAGTTAAAAAGAGTTCAACTATTCACAAGATGTTCCATCATCTAATTAACCCAAGACGACATCCTTCAGCAAATGGCAGCTAGATCATTAGTAAGATGCTGATGAGCACTTCAAAATGCCTATTTAGTTTTCAGCCCCTCCCGAAGAAATAGAGGTAGAGATTCTGTTTTCAATCCAACTTACTACACCTGCACTGAGGGGTGTCATGCAGACAGGAATTCAAGTAAAGGAAAAGGCAATTTAGGAGACTCCTCCACATTCCACACTATGAATTTCATCTGCAACCTAGAGGGGAAAATAAAAAAAAAAAAAAAAAAAAATCCCACAAATGCTTCCAAGTGGGAAAAGTCAGCTAAATAAAAATCCCTGTTTTTTTTGGGGAAGAAGGCAAAATTTATCAGAATAACAAAGGTTAAAGAAAAAAAAAATTTGAAGTGAAAGACCTCCCTGTAATTTACTGGCAAATCCACTCCCCTGCCCATTTTTCTCGGCATATAACTGGCTATTTTTCATGTTTTAAAAATAAAATCTTTATTCCACAGTTAACCAATACTAAAATGTATAAGGGACTCTGCCTTGAAGTATGCAAATATTTCTATGAGAATCAAACTCAAGACTGAGACACTTGTGCATACGGTTTTACAATTTTTTCAGTGATTCAGACAAGACACTGCTTGAGACTGGATTAAAGAACTACATCATGTTTTAGCATTAAAATATTTTAGCAAGACACGCTACCTTGCTTTTAAAGGCCATCCCTTTGCTCCAATTTTATTGATTTTTTCCCCCTAGGTGGCAAAACTCTGTCTCAACATGAATGTCCCAATTTCTCCCCTCCACCTTTAGTACCAACAGTCGTATTTCCTCTATGTAGCAGATTTATCACATTAGGAACTTCAGTATATCAAAGACTAAGACACTTAGCAGTGGAAAAAGCCAGATGGGAAACAGCTTACTAGCCACAGAAGACCTGTCAATGCAGTAGCTAAAGGCCATCAAAGAAGACAAACAGGTGGCAGGCTCAAAACAAAGTAGAAGGTGTATTCTTCACATAATGCATATTTCATTCCATATTGCAGGAAGCAAGGAAAAAAAAAAAAAGGAAAAAAAACCCCAAACCAAACCCACCTTCAAATGCTTCAGTTGTCTTTAGAACTGTATCTGTTACAGAAGACCTACAGTATCATCAGAAACCCTTAACGTGCAAGATGGGAACATGGAGTCCTCAGGCCAAGGACTTCACAAATTGCAAATGGCAGCATTGTTTAGGGCAAGTCTTCTAACAGTTTGTGATCCATACTTCTGCAGATACAAAGCTGGCTTAAGACTAGTGCATTAACTTGACTGACTCTTTTCCTGCATACTGTGGGATGGTGACAGACTAGTTGCCATCCTGTGAGCTCTCAACACTTCCAAGGCTTCCAGCCACCAGGCTTATAAATAAATAGTAATTTATTTTTTTTTCCCTGGAGCTTAGAAGAAATTACAAGAATAAACCACTCCTCTGCTTATCAGACTCATTAAAAACATTATTTGGCCTCAAAATGGACAGTACATTAAAATTTGAACTTAGAGCACAACACAAGGGCAAACAACTGAACTTTTAAAGAGAAGCCCACTCTAACAACCCTAAAATCCAAACAAATACAGCCTTATATTCAGGCTAATGCTGAAGGCAGAAAGCTAGGAGGGTTTGGAAAAAACAGCTGAGGGGAAAGCAGTGAACTCCAGGAGAATAGCAAGGATAATCTGCAAACGTGCAATGCAGTGACCAAAGCTAAACCCCACAGAATCATCCCATCAGATGGTAAAAACAAATAAGTAAATTCCATGCTCTCTGTTCCTGAAGGATAACTTTCACAATTGATTCCATGACACACTGACAGCTTACAACTCTTCATGCAAAACCGTGACCCCTCCTTATGTACTCCTTCAATAAATGATCTCAAACTATCCTCCTCTTTCATGCTACACAGTAAGCAAAAGTCTGATCTCCAATATACAAGACGGTGCTGTTAAACTAGAATGTTTTTTACTTAATAGAAGTGTAAAATTTCTGAAGGCTAGAAAGAAATGCCTTACCAAGGGAACTCAATTAGCATACCAGTGTTTAATACTGGGCTCTAAAGAGTCTAAAATGACATCTCAAAATACCCAAATTGGAGGTATTTCAACTATCCTGGAGGGAAGAAAGCACCCTACAAAGAACTGAATGCATTCAAGAGAAATGAAGATGAGGACACACTTTGCCAAATTTGATTTAAGAACATAATGCTGCCTGGCATCTCAGCTGAAACGTAAAAAGACAACAAAACTATCAATCCTTTCTTTAAAGACTGGGAACAGAAACCCAGAAGGCTAACAGATAATCAGATATAAAGGAACATCAGATGAAGTGAAGTCCTTATGTCTGTGTTCACTGTCCTATAGAGAGGTTTCCATAGCTTAAACTGTTTTGTGAGGGTCTCTGATGATGCAGAAGCAACTGCGAGTATAAGCAGTAATGAAATAGCTGCATTCTTAAGTAAGGTGCAGAACCTCTCTTAGAGCTGAAAAAGCACCTAAGGAAATCACGTGTGGAAAACAGTATTTAAAGACAGCATCAAGGAAGATCCAGACCATCATCTCATTGTGCAAATTAGTGAACAACGTAAACTAAGAATAGAATTACTGGACACAAACAAATAATATATTGGGAAACATTCAACCTGGCTGTTGTGAAGGCAAGTCATGCCCTGCAAAATTAGGTACAACATGGGTAAAGGAAAACTAAATGATAAAAACCTACCTGGGAGTCGAAAAAGCTTTAAGAAGTCCCTCAAGTAAAACTCCTGAGGAAAGTAAGCAACCAAGTGATAAGAGGGAAAGACTTTGTGTGGACAAATAGTTAAGAAAGTCAAACAATCTAAGGAGTTCCCACATTGAAGGAGGCCACAGCAGGTACCCCACAAAAAATCTATGTTGGTTTATGCTGTTCAATATATTCATAGATTACATCTCAAAGGGGATGAATAACTGATGTTGACAATACAAAGTTATATTAGACACTGAAGATGAGGGCTAACTGAAGAATTAAAGGACCGTGATTTACAGTAAGAAGCAGCAATGATTATAGATTAATACAAAACAAAGCCTGTTTGTCTGCAGGCACAGGAGCAGGCTGTGAGCTAATAACTGCCATCCACAACAAGATATATGACAATTTATTTTAGATAATTTGGATTGCTCGGTGCACCATATGGATCAATAGTTAGAAAAATAAACAGAACTAATTTGTGCTTGTATTTTAGGTACTAAGTGCAGGTTTAGTATTCTTCCCTTAATAAAATAAAAACACCCCAACCCACCACAAGACAATAAAACAACTCAGAAGATTTTTAAATAAAAAACAAAAAAAAACCACAAACAAATCACACAAAAAAAAAACACACACACACAAAAAAAAAAATCAAACCCAAAAACCAACCAACCAAAAAAATCAACCAAAACACAAACAAACAAAAATATCAGACAAAGTTAAAAGACGTATGAAACACTTTCCATACAATCGACAACTGAACAGACCAGGGCTTTCCAGTCTGGAAAGAAGGCTACCTATAGCAGAGAGGTGAAAGAAGACGAAGGTCTATAAAACAAATAGCTTGGAACAGTTGCATAGAAATTGTTCATTGTTGTGCCCAATGTAAGAATGAAGGGTCAAAAGCTGAAGGCAGGTTCAAAACTTACAAAAGGGGGTGGATCTTCATGCATATTATCATCAACCTGAACCTGCCACATGATGCTGCAGATCCAAATGTTTACATAGGTTCCAGGGTAGACTGTGCGAATTCATTAAAAAAAGATTAAGGACTGTTATTAAATATGATTAAATATAGAAACACAACCTGGGTAGCCCAGAGACAGAGCAGAACACAAGCAAAACAATCTGGCATACCTAAATCTAACGCTGCTATAACAAACCTAGCCTATCTCTCAAGAAACTTGCTTCCAAAGACTTAGTAACACATGATAAAATGATAGCTGTCCAGGCACTTTACAGGGTTTTTCATAACTTTTATTTCCTACCTGCTATAAGGTATCATCACCTAGAGACAGCTAAATAGACACTAACAGACACTTATTTTGGGATATATGCAGAGCATTTTTAAACTGCCATTAGATACTAATTTGTGCAGGATCTAATACTTTACACTTAAACATCTTGCATTCTTTGATTATTCCCTTATGGTAAGCACAGCTGGTTGTATTTGTTCAGAACAATACATCATGCAGCTCATTAAGGCCAATGCAATCCCTTGCTTTACAAATTTTAAAAATAGAAGGATAGAATGCAAGTCCTTTCAGCTCTGCCTCAGCCCTTCATCACACAAGCCCAAATTGTTTTACAACTGTGACAAAGTACACTGCAATTATGAACAGAGACACACAATTTTATTAAGATGACAGGTTCACATTCCATCAATTTCAGCCGTTCCATGAGTGACTTCCCATAGCAGATGCCAACCTTCCTTCCTCCTCATTTTACTCTCTTCAATTTTCAGGACACAGGCCTAGAGTAACAGCAGCCACATACCCTGATAAGTAAGCTCATTAGTGCCCACATCCAATAGACAGTACCTATGCAAAGTATTCTTGATGGCTCTGCTGCTGTTTTCTCTGATCTCTCCCAGATGCAATGCAACTACCAGAATCACGCAAAGAAAGCCATACTAAAAGGCTTTCAAGCGTGTATTTATCGAAGGCAAGTATTAACAACTCCACCACTCCCTCCCATCATCCTAAATTCTGGGCATGGCCCCCAGAAAGGGACAAACTTTTCTTCACGTTACGTAATCTACACATGCATTAACATAACATCTATTTCTTACAGAACACACACCACAATACTGCAAGTTCAAGGATGACAAGTATTACACTCAGATGAGTTAACTGTTACTCTCTAAGAAGGGGAGTTCATACTTTGAAAGTATTCAAAGTACGTATACATCAGTGAACTAACAACTGTGAAGTAACTTTGCTAGTCATTATCAGATTTAAAATGTTTATGAGAAACTTCCAGTAATGGTTATTCCACATTTATTTCCAAAAGGGTAATCTGTCTACAAAAATAAATTGGAACTATGTCATGATGCAGAAGTGATTCTGTAAGCTTGGTATAATTTCCTTTCATTTTAATGCTGACAAATGTTAACAGAACCCATCTGTCTCTCAGTTTTAGATGGCTTCTACATCGTTTGAATATGAAACAGTTTGAGTTAAAAAAAAAAACAACAAACCAAACAAAAAACCACAACCCATCTCCTTGTTTAGTAATTTATGCTGACAGTTCACTAGATGTAAAATACTGAATTCTCTTAAAAAGAAACTGGAGATAAAAGTTCCAAGAAGCATGTTAATGCAAAAATTTTCTGCAACACTATAAAAAGCATGTCCTCAATGCCAGCAGGACGCAATTTTTTAATGTGCTATACCTGTCAGGCCATTTGTTACAGTTAAAAGTTTCATGTGTGGCCCAAAATTGAGGAATTTTATTAGATTTGCCTTAAAGACAAATCTTATATGAGCAACTCGTTATGGTAAGTTAGCTTATTCCTACAATTTAAGCTAACTTTCCTATTACTCTTACATATGGAATTTGTATGCGTCCCTCTGGCACAAGTACTCATCAAGAACCTTTAAAAATGACAAGTCAGATTTGGTTAAGTTTATTGAGTATGAATCCAGGTGTGAGTTATCTCTCCTTGTGGGGTCAGCTTAAAGGTCTAATAAATGAACTTTATCCACCTTCTGGAAAAAAATAAATTTTACAAAAAAGTTAAATAAACCAGTATTCAGTTTTCTGCATCTGGATGTACCATTTACAGATATTTTAAGCTGCCATAAAGTAACATTAGTTGTGAGTGACTTAATCTTTTCTGAAGTCATCCTTCACCAATGAAAAAATACTTTTGTCTGCGGATTTTCACTTACGAACACCCTACGAATAGTTACATTGGAAAAACTCCATTACTGACATTAGCTGAGAGTTGTTATATAGGAAATAAAATTCCAGTACACTGCGGCTTCCCCATTAGTATTTGACATCAGCTTTAAGAAACTACTCAATTTTTTTTTTTCCTATTCATTGCTCAAACTGACAAGCTTCAAAAACCTACTACAAATTTTTTAAATTCAAACCTAGAGAAAGACATATTGGAAAACCCTTTAAGTTCTAAACTAAGTGGAGGCATGGGTACCAACCTCATCCCAACCTGGCTGAACACTGTGACTACATCTGACACAGCTTGGGATCATACCACTTTCTAATGTTACCCTCAAATACAATGTGGTTCATTTATAGCATTTAAAAAGACTTCTTAATTCATATTCAAGCTTCTTATCCTGGGACCAATATACAAAACTGTTAAAAATATTCCAATGAAAATACATCAAAAAAAGAAGTATCACAACTGGGCAAAAGAGAATGTCCACAAAACTAGAATGACATGTATATATCAGTATAACCACATGTAATGTTTTTATATATACAGAAATAGTATTATGGTATTTTATATAAGATATTATTATAAAGTTCTGAGTTATAAAGTTTAGGAACTCAAACCAATGGTAACTTGACTTTGATGAAATGATATTACAGAAATTTTAAACAAAACTGTATGCACTAAGAAATTAAAGTGACAGGTTTTGACTGGAATAATCTGTTCTTTCCAATCAGCAAGGCCAAAGAGGCACTAACTTGCCTTCTCTTATGCTTTAATTCTACTAAGCATAGTTAACTACCTTGTATTTCCTTCCCTGACTACAGCCCAAGAATAGAAGGAATAAAAACACAGAGGAGTGGGAAAAACAAAATTCATGTTCCAAGAAGAGATGGAAGAAAGCTGCTTTTAAGCAAACTGACTTAATCTTGCTCCAAAGCACAGCATGTTACAAAAACAGCAACAAAAATTTTCTAAAGCTACCTCCCAGTCTCTCTCCTTAACACATCTCACTATTCAGAAATTCTTTTTAGTTCTACATTAAACAGCACACCAACTACTCCAGCACAGCAGCTGAGAAAAAAGCTTGAAGGCTTTTTAACAAAGCAATTAATACAGAATCTGATCTTCAAGCGTCTGAAGATTTCCTCCCTCCTCTCCCCCCTCCCCGGAATCTGTCACGCCCAAGGAATAAAATCCCCGAGGAGGCTTCACACCCAGCTCGTTATCCTCCCCTTCGGTAGCACCAGAACCTTTCCTGCTTTCCTTACACTCGCCCACCACTGCACACACTTACTTTTGAGTTGTGGCGAGTGACAGCACTTCAGAAAAAGGTAAAATCACCACAACTCGCCCGCTGGAAACGCAAGTACCGAACAGCCGTGCCACAGGCCGGCCGGTGGGACTGCAGGTGTCCCTGCACTGGCCAGTCGACATCTCCGCGGTGCCAGCGGCGCAAGCGTGTCAGGTTAGGGTCGCCACAGCAGCGGGAGGCAGACCCGCTCCCGGCCAGCGGCCAGCCCGCAGCCCCGAGCCCGCATTCCAGGCGGGGCGCCCCGGAGCAGCACCTGGCGCCGGCGAGGCAGACCGCGGCCTGGGCCGCCCCGTCCGCCCCGCTGCCCCAGAGCCAGCGGAGAGGCGCAAGGCCTCGCCGAGGATTACCTCGCTCCCGGTTTCTCAGCGGCCGGAGACGCGCCGCGCGCTAGGAAGGCTCTCTGCCCGCTGCCCTGCTCCAAGCGCCAGCTCCTCGGGCGCTGCCCTGGGAGCTTCGCATCCCGTCACTCACCCGTTGCTCATCGTACCGGGCTGGCCCACGCCAAGTGGGAGAAGAAGCCACAAAACACTACTACCACCGCGACCCAGCACCCACAGCCTGCGCCATTCAAACGGCGCCGCGCTGCATGCTGGGCCGCGCCGCGCCACGCCCCGCTGCCCGCGCGGGCACGCGGCGCCCTCTGGCGACAGCGCCGCCACCTCCCGGCAGCCGAGGGCGCATCCGGCGCCGCTGCCACAGAGCCCGCCGCAGCTCGCGCCTCGCCCCGCCCCGCCCCGCCCCGCCCCGCCTCCTGCCCCGCCTCCTGCCCCGCCTCCTGTGGCAGCGCGCACGGCACGGCGGTTGGGGCGCTGGCTGTGTGCAACCAGGTGGTTCTTCCGGGCGGGCGCTCAGGCTGCCGCAGCTGCGTTCCCAGGGGCCTCACCCGCCCCTCCCGCCTGGCGGCCTGTCCTGGCTGTCTGCCGGGCTGAGCGCGCCCCTGGGCCGTCAGCGCGCTGTGCCGGTCTGGTCCAGCTTCTCGTTGGAAAAAGCTGTTTCTCCCCGACCCCCCGCAACTCGCCTGCGTGCAGCAGAGCTTCCCCAGGCAGCGGCGGTATTAAGCCGGCCGCCTCTCTTCCACGGCCGCCTCGCTTCCCCGACCGCGCCCGATCCCGCAGGGCTCCTGGTGCGGGAGCATCCGCCGCTGCTGAACGCGGGGGAGCATTCCAACTGGGCGCTGCGCAGCGTACGGGAAACTTGCTGATGTCTGATCACCCCTGAATACTTACATTGTATCGGGAACCTCGCAGCTCTCGCTACACACCGTGTTTGTAGGCTGCTAATGAGGAAGCGCGGTTACGAGTGTGCGATGTTTCAACTGGCTGACAAACCCACTCTAGCTCCAGCTTATAGTTGAGCGTGAGCAGCTCTAGTATTCCTGAAGCCTGGGTGACACTAAAATTCTCTCTTTGATCTAGATTAACATCTTAGAACACACCTAAAGCCAGGGAGAAGAATGGCTTGTTTTAGTGGTAAATGAAGGGAAAGGTGAGTTTCATTACACATCTCCCCTCACTTAGTGCCTCCTTCCCCTCATATATTGTAATCTGAAGTGTGTTATTTATACAATCTCACAGCATCCCTATAAAATAGAGGCTTCATCTGTCCCTATTACAGTAAAGTTTTGGCTTGGCTGAAATTTTGCCTAGTGTACATTACTCTCAATTTTAGGGGAGAAGGGCAGGCTGTGACAAATTACATCCTTTCTTCTATAAGTAACTGGGCATGACAATTTATATTGTAACTAGGTTATGAAGGTATTTCCTCAGTGTCTGAACAACTCCAAGACTATCTGGATTTAATCAGAGTCTACATTACCACTTTTTGTGACCTGCTTTTCATGTCATGGTATTATCAGACTTTGAAACAAGGTGATCCATAAAATACCAGTTTATGACACAAATCTGCTATACGAAGAAGGCATTTGGTACCATTAAAAATGAGCTGCGAGTATATAATCAAGTCCTTAGGTCAGGCAATGTTTCATTTCAGAAGTTTCGTGTGTTGATCTAAAAAGTCATTGGAGTCTTTCACCATAATCATTCTCCTTTTGAACAAAAATGCCCTGGTGCTTAGGAATGCATTCTGATTTCCAGTCTAAATTTACTCATGTGCTGACTATTCTAGTGCCAGTATTACCTGATAGTTTAAACGACTCTCACCTTCTATGAAGTCTGTTTGCCATAAGAGAATAATTTTATCCTCTCAACAATTTCATTTTACTAGCCTAACAGACTTAGTCCCCTATGGCAGGATAACCTTTATGTTTGCATAATCATCCTAATGTCACTTTTACTGTCATTTTTGCAGATGCTACAGTTTCAGTTCAAGCTGTCCTGTGTGCACTGTGTTTAATATATACATGGTTCTCTTACTCACCTGAGCACGTCAGCTGTGGCTATCCAGGTCAGTAGGTTTTTTAAACATTATTTTCTTTGAGCTGTGCATGCTGACCCAAAAACAAACAAATAATCAAAGGAAACGGATTATATATTGCTTTAGAGAATGTGACAATTACCCGATGATGCACACTTAAAAATGCTTGAGCTTTCCAAACCAGACCTTGTGAAGTTCGTCAGAAGCACATGGTTAGATACCAAACCATTTTTAAAAGACTGCCAGCTAAATGTGGCTAAGTTAGATGCTGATGCTAGACAGTGGCAGAAATGGCAGAAGAGCTTCTTATGTGATCTTATGTTTAGGTTTTAAAGGGCAGAGCAACTGGCTTGGTTCAGCCAAGGTGCGAAACAGAATAATTTTTTTTGTTACTGGGCCTGGTTATTAAATACCCCTTCTGAAAAGAAGCTGTTCTGCAAGTCCAAGTAGGGGTCAGATTTTGTAATAGTACTGTAATTTCTGTCAAAGGTCCAGTTCTATTTTCAGAATCACAAAGCTACCTTGGTTACTTAGCAATGACCACGGACCATCTAGCTGCTAATACTAATGGGTTAACCATCCTCAGACTCAGCTGAAATCATTTACATTAAGAATTCCCGCTTCTTTCATGTATCTTCCTTTGATTCTGTTTTTGATATGCATTCTCTGGTTTACATTACTCTCTGGACCTGAAAAGAGTCTTCTTAGCTAAGCATCCTTACACCTTTTCTAAGTATCTTCCTTAGCCTATTTTAACTTACTTTTTGCTGCTGTCTTCCCTAAATAGCACTGGGAGGTGTCCCTGCCCATGGCGGGGGGTGGGGGTTGGAACTAGATGATCTTAAGGTCCTTTCCAACCCTAACTATTCTATGATTCTGTGATTCTAAATTAAAGAAAAAGTCATAATTTCTTGCATTAACTGCAAAGTACTGAAAAACTACATTCTTTTTGAAAGTTTTTTTTTCCAATTCCATGTTCCTTTCCATGTTTACTTTTTTTTTTTAAATTAATTTATGTAAATTTCACCAGTAGAGAAAAGATCTAATCTTGCTGCTTCTGTATACTGCTAATAGGGGAGTGCCAGTATACCATACTTGTAGGATACTTCTAATGTGTTTGAAGTTTCCATTAAGAAAATGCTACTTCTCTAACATTGCTTATGTTAGTTCTCTGGAGCCAGTTTTGCTACACTGGGATGAACAAGGGGTTTTGGCAGAAGAGCTATATCAATCTTATTACTGAAGCTGAAAAAAGAAGATGTCACACTTTTAAAATAATTATTTCGATAAATTCAAACCTCAAGACAATTTTAGCTGCAGTTCCAATATAGAAAAGTGTATACTTGAGGGATTTTTAGTATTTTAAATTTTTTGGCAAGGCCTAGTTATGTATTTTCAAGGAAAAAAAATGATCATAGGAAAAGAATCAGCATAAAGAATATGTAATTACTTTAGAACAATGTTTTTGCTACCATTACTATGACACACAGCATGATGTTATAGGATGCTTTTATGGACAAAAGATGGGGTATTTTCAGTCCTTAGAGACATCATAGCTGTAAATGAATAAAGTAAATTGTCATAAATAAAACTTATGCTTATCAAGCACTTACATATATTGCACAACTTTCTGTACCTGCTGTGTCAAGCTGTATGAAATACAGAGTGAGGAATGAACACTAAGATATCTAAGGCAGCACCAGGGAGCTATGCTTACACTTTTTGCAGGGCACATTTTGTACAGTTATTTTCATAGTTCCTTTGGAAATGAGTTCTTTGTGTGCTGCTCGACAGGTTTGAATAGTCAAATCTTCCAGGTGGGTAAAAGAGTCTGACAAGATAAAGTAATTATGGTGTAATAGGATTTTATCAGATCATGATATGTAATCTGAATCGTGTTTTTCTTCATAACTGAAGGAATATAGATCCAAATATATGCAGATCTAATGCAGAGAAATGTAAACATATGTATGTATAAAAATAACCTACTACTTCCTCTTGTGTTCTCATATTCTCAAAACACATATTGATATTAAACACATCTGAATTTTTAAAGAATTTCATTGATTGAGTCTGAATATAGAGAAGCTCAGTAATTCTTTGAATTGTTTCCTTTGCAGTTATCTGTAACTCCAAATTATATATTTTGTGTCATTTTCACAAATGTAACACTAGTTGCCCTGGAAATTTGTGGTGGAAAGTAGGAATTTTGATAGTGATTTTGGATGCAACACAGAAGCCTAATGTATAAAAATGGAAATTTTTAATGTGCAGCAAAACAAAGTACTTGTGCAAAGGCAAAGAAAATTGTAAGGATGGGATGAATGCGTTCACTAAAAAAAACATAGTTCTACTGTTCTGAGCCGATTAAGGTGTTTGACTATTTTCTAATTGTATTTTCTATTTTTTCCCTGTAGCTTTTATTTTTTCTGATATTTTATTTGCACTAAAGTTTTTCTTCCAGCTGTTGTATAAGTAGCACTATGCCAATTGGTGGTGTTATTTTACCAGCCTGGCTTCTTTTTTATTCCTCCTTAGGTAGAATTTAAGTTCAATAAAGTGTACTGACATTTATGGACGTTTTCTGAGATCTGCCCAGTAGGTGCCTGGAATGGGTTGTAGATAGGATATTTGAGGGGATGGTAGTTACTTCAAGATTATTAAGTATCTTTAGCCTGCAGGTGTGAGACAGGATGGCTCAGGCAGTTGGTAATGGGATAAAGCTTTTCTCCCCTGAATTGCCAGCTCTGGGCCAGATTAGTAGGAACAGAGTATTTCCACCATCTGGTGTCTGGTCAGTGACCCATATGAGAGGAACTGGTAGCCATCCCTGCTACTGGTGATCAGCTTTACAATTAAAAAAATTCCCAAAACCCACTCTGAGAATGATTTAATCACTAACCTGCCACAAATGAACATGAGGACTAACAATCCCGCTAGAAACCTAATTGTCAGGCCTCAGCACCCTGAAGGGAGCATAGCAAAATTTGTCAGTGTGGGCTGTCAGATGATGGTTTTTTTTAGAAAGCAAACAACTGATAATTTTTTGCTGAAAATGACAGCAGCTTGTAAGAAAAGTGGCTTGATTTTTCAGTGATGCAAAAAAGCAGGTATCAACATCCTCCAGAATCCTACCACTCCTCAAAATGAAAATGTCCATTATTAATAAAAAAATAATTGGTGTAGGATGACAATATTTGATTAGAACATAGTTCAGCTGAAAGATATGCTCTATTCAAATACATAAAGTTTTGCCTTATTGCAATCTGAGACAGGCTAACTCAAGCTGACTGAATGAATAGTAAGTTATGAATCAGTATGACAAGTTGGGATTCTTTGTAACAAACTGCTCCTGAATACTGCATCCATTTCTGCTGTAGAAATAAAGTCAGGTGTAATTATAGAATCTGTGAATTGGGCTAGTGTCTGAATTTCTGCAATCCTGTGAAACAGTTTGCTATCTGACTGAAAAAGCCAATTAGCCACTTAAGAAAGAAAAACACCATACTGTAATATTCAAGAAAGGTGAATAAAAATTTGTAACTAGAATCTTTTATAATCAATAAATTAATACCAACCACTTCACAGCTTCATTTAATGTTCCTTAAGCAAAACTATGCTTTTAGGATGATAATTTTGAGAGAAACTAAACATCTAGGCCTTAATAAAGACCTTTAAGAAAATGTATGAAGAATCTAGGGTATGATTTTTGGGGTTGCTAACACTATCTGGTTTTGTTTGAAGTCAGACATCTGAATGATAATTATCATAGTTTCAGACCCACAACTACTAACATGATGAGATAGTAAAACTGTATGCATTCATCTTCGCATCAAAATTATGCTGTTAAATGCCGTGCCCGGTAAAAATGAATTAAAAATTAGTTTTAACCGTTATTTTTTTCTGCCTTCCCGCCGCTGACCAGAAGGTGGTGCCCACACACTGGATTATGGTCAATTTTGAGTGGTCTGTCGTTAGGCTGAGCAGTGCTGTTGAATCAAACGTGGTAATACTGTTGTGGTGGTGGATGTCTTCAGATGGAATAGCAAGAAACTTAAATTTCGAAAATAAACATTATGTTCATTTGTTCTCTCTTGTCTGAGCTTTGTGTTTGAATCCTTTGTCTGGTTTATGCATCTACATACTGAACACTTTCCTCTTCATTTTACTTTCTTTCACAAGTAACTGATTCTTCTTCCTACTCCCCTTTTTCATTTTGTCCTTTTTTTTTAAATGTCTTGAACTTCTCTCAGACATCCTTACTGAGATGCCCAGATGCTGTTTATTTCTAAACATTATCAAAAAAAGAAGAAGAGAGAGGTGTCATCTGCTGAAGTAACTCCAAATAAAAGCTGGTATCTATTTTTCAAACCTTATTTACTCTCTTTGCATAGCTGTGCTGAAATTGATATTCTTTTGCAATTGTGAGTGACTGTTTCATAAAATACCCAACAAAACCAAACCTTTATGTTTATTGTTGTATAGCTATGGTTATGTTGTGGTTGTTTTATCTTCTGGCGACTTCTTGCTTCATGAGCTAAGGATCAATCAGACATCATAACCCTTGAATAATTTTTCTCATCCACAATATTGGAGACACAGAAGCTGTAGATCTTCTTGGGGATAAATGCAGTGAGCTAATTCTCACTATTAATAGTTTATAAGGACAGTAGGCATTTTCAAAAAAGAAAGCTTGGCAAGCTTTATGAAATGTTGTAACTTGGTGGCATAAGATAAAGATTGGAATTTTCTGTGTGTATGTCAAGAATCTTCAGATTTCAATAATAGGCTGTGGTGGGTGTGATCTCCCCTGCGGTTTGTATACCAGGCCTTCAGTTTCATAGCAGCTACAGAATACATAATGACTATATGTTCTGGGATACAAAGTGGTTGTTAAGAAATTTCACCTCAAATATGTGCTTGTGTTAGGTCTTTAATCTCAGAAATATACAGATTTTATTTTTTTTTTGTTTCACTCTGCAGATTCAGTTGCTGAAGAGCAAACAAATAAAGCAATATAACATTGCCTGCAATTGCAGCTAATTTATTTAACAATTCCTCTTTAAAAACCTTTACTGAATGCAATATAGTTTTTGTGCTGCCTTCTATATCTTCATTCTCTTAAATTTAATTTATTTATTTCTGCCTTTAATCCTTCCATGTCCTTAAATCTTTTGGTTCAGCCTAATCCTTCAAATCCTATAATTACTCTAACAAAGCATTTTAACCTTGTGGCCTTCCTGGACTCTTGCCTATTGCTTATGACGTGTAGGTCTCGCTTGACTAATGATGTTTACTGCTGCGTTTTCTTTCCTAAGATACTCATGGAAAATTTCATGCCACATGGCTCCTGTTTATAGCAGGGCTCAGTGTCACAGTATTACTATGGCCATTGTAAAACTTGTGGTGGCTGTTTTCTATTATTAGAACAAGTGCTTCTTTTATTTAGAAGTTAATGGCTGGCCTTGATGTAATCCCAAATAATAGAAACCCAAAGCCTAGATGTTGATTTCAAGTAATTATTCCGAGGTTGTTTTGTCTGTTCAGCAAGTACTTTTTTTACATATTGTGTAAGGTGTATAACCAGTTTAAATCAGGTATATAAGATGACAACATGTGATGATAGTATGTTGGGTTGCCTGAATATTTTTCTGAACACTTCATAAACATATTGTATTAGTTTCCCTTAGGAAATTCTGAACATTAGGGTGAGGACACTGTTTTATAGTACTTAGAAGTTTTCATGTCAGGTTTATTTGTAAAGAAGTAGTCAGAATTATTTAATTATTTTTATTTTATTTTATTTTAAATTTAATTTTTTGAAAGAGCAGGCCAGGGTCTGACTAAAATTAATCAGTGGTTTTGTTAATAGGAGTGATATTTAAAAGTATGATGAAGAACAATTTTATATAATGCTATTAAGGGGAAAAAGGTAGTAAGTGTATGGCAGGTATTTTAGAAAATGGTTATAAATCTTAATGACATATGGTACTAAAAGAAAATTACTTGTTTGCAATGGTGAAATAACACAATTTCATTATTCCAACTAAAAATAAAAATCCTATTTTCAACATTAAGTATTTATGTTAGGGAAAAACTAAACTTCTTGTGTAGTGAGAAAGATACTTCTTTGGGGGTGATGGTAAATAGAAATCTGCATCTGTATTCTGTGTTCAGCTGTTCAGAAGCTGTGATGGAGGGCAAATACACATGGTTATACAGAGATGTACATATAGTTTGAATCGTATAAACTCTAGAAGACTCGAGCAGAAGACTGTGCCTGTTACTGGGTTTATGATCTGTGAGCAAAATTCTCTAACAAATGTTTGAACCGTTGCTCTGGTCCTCAACTCTGTGCTTTTATGTACAGTTTATATATCATATATCTACCAGATGTACATTGAGTGATTTTCTTCTACTGTGCATTCATTACTTTGCCTAAACAAACCATGGAAGCATTTATAAAAATAAGCTGGGATGACTTTTAGGCATCAGAGCCTTGCACATCTGGACCTAACACAGATTTATGGCCTTACCTTTTCCAACATGTCTTTGAGAGAGGTTCTGCCTAAGAAAATATGAGTTTGTATAAGGCACACTAAGCCCAGATGGAAACAACAGAATGCCTGAAACTTTTTTCTCAATACTGTTTCTTGCAAGATTAATTTTTCTTGGCTTGAGTAACTGAGCCTAAGCTACTGAAAATGAAAAGTTTGTAAATCAGATGTTCTTTTTTTTTCTGTTTTCTGTTTCCATTTTTTTTTTTTTAAATATATTTAGGGTGACTGATTCAGAGTCTCCTAAACTAACTTTGCCATCCCATCTTAAAGAGGACGTAATTGTAGGTACCGGAAGGGGGAACAAACATGAGAAGACATAGGATGTGGGAGGAAATGCATTTCCAGAGAAGAGATATTAAAAAGCCCTGGACTGTACAATTTGTGGAGGAGATGTCGTGAGCTTGCATTTCCTCCCAGCGAAGTCAATGGCAGCAGGGTTGTCTCATGAAAAAGCTTACTAATTAATGAAGAGCATTGAGAAAGGCACAGTACCCAGCATACATTTCTTGTATTCCTAAATACAGTGAGTAGATTAAAGAAACTGAAGCAGCAATTAAAATACAGATGCTGTGGCATAATATGTAGGTAGAAATACTCAGGTTTTAGACCAAGCTAAACCAGCTGGAAAAGTGAGACCTTTTGGGACACATACAATTTCTGTGTGTTTGAACCAAGCAAAGAAATGTCTGTATCAGCACAGTTTAACTAAGCAGTTGAGTTCACCTCTGCAGG